GTGATGTGGATGAAGTCAAAGAAAACACGCTAAAGGCTTTGAACAGTATCCAGCCTCAAGAATTCCAGCACTGTTTTGAGCAGTGGCAAAAGCGTTGGGACAAGTGCATTAATGCACATGGACAATACTTTGAAGGGGACTAATATACAGTTCAATAAAAATGCAAAAATAAAAAATAACAAAAATAAATTCCGGTTATTTTTGGGTCCCCCCTCATAGGCTGTTAAATAAACCAATTAACAATCTGAACGACGTCTTCATTAACGAAACACGTTACAATATATATATACATATATGCAGGGTGTCCCAGGAGGAATGTGCCAGACTTTGGGAGGATGTTCTTTATGTTAAAGTGTGCCTATATAACCCAAAACACCTATGTCCAAAGTTGAACGGTTACAGAGATAACGCCCAGAGAAGTGTGAAAGTTTGACAGGTGTTACACACTTGTTGATTATCAAATACATATTAAAACTGGCAGGAATATGTGGTTTCTGTAATGTTAATAATGTACGTAACATCAAACTAACTTGTGAGTGACATGAAGCCATTAAATTGAACTACAAAAAACTCGCACGCCATGTCATAGTTGTCCTTAGGTTTCCGAGCACTATACATGACACATGACTGGCAAGCGCTGACGTAACATGGCTGACTGCACATTCTGGTATAAGCCGACTACATAACTACTAAAATACACCATCCCGGGTAAAAGACGCTCATCACTGAATAAAATGACGTTTAACAGTTTGGGATGAGCTTTTATCCAGTGGCAGAAATCCATACACTGAGCATGGTCTCCTGGTTCCAGTTGTTGTACCCTTCTGATCATGGTAAGGACACAACTCTTCATTGTGTAAAGTTCGCCGCACGTGAATACGTGATACGCCAATGCAAGAGGCCATTCTACGAGTGGACAGACGCAGACTTCTTTGAACCATCTCAGGAATGTTCTCTCGTGTGTTTACCATTCATACATCCTCCCTTTCAGAGTGCACAGAAACACTCGGAAGAGAACCAGTATCACGCAATGTCTGGTGAATTCTCGTAAATACACTTCGAGATTGAATCCTTCACTCGGGAAAACGCCTTTGGTATTTTTCAACAGCAGCAAGTGCATTGCCACTGCAAAATCCATACACAAAATGCATATCACAATATTCCACGTGTGAAAACACAAAAGGCATTTCAGCAACTCCGCACAACTACACGTAATTTACCAACCATTCACAACGCGGCCGCAACGTAACCTGAAGGTAGCACATAAGCTTATGGCTAGTGTGAATGACCACACTCAAGGACAAACATAGATAAGACTTGTCAGCTGACATACAGTGCATGGACCCGCCAGAAGACTACACTTTTCTCGGGCCATTTTCTCCGTAACCGTTCAACTTTGGACATAGGTGTTTTGGGTTATATCAGCATACTTTAACATAAGGAACACCCTCCCGAAGTCTGGCACATTCCTCCTGGGACATTCTGTATATATAACATTCGGCCAACTCAGGGTGCTTATATATACATTTGCCCATTAAAGGTTAATGGCTTTGATTACATTCAAATCGGAAACAGATGCTAAAGATAAGAATTCAAAAGATGACAAAAGTTTGGGGAAGACAATAGGACAAAGACTGTGGTATACTGATTAAAAATGCTTTGAAAATTCCTCAGCAATATCATTAGGTTTGATTAAATGCTTACCATCAACCTCAAGCTGGATGGAAGCAGAATTTCTTTTCCTAAAGGAGGCCACATATTTCCAGAATTGCTTGGGTGGGGATTTCAACCCATACACTTTCATCACAGAATTCCAAATGGTATCTGCGTTTATAGGAGCGAACTTTGGATGATAGGGCAATGAGTACTCCACCACCATGTGTCTTATTTACAGATGCCCTGTCAGAATGGAAAACTGTATAGCAGTCAGGAAATAAATTATGATCATAACACAGGTCATTTAACCATGTCTCAGTTAAACAAATAACATTATAGTCCGTGGATCAGATATTGTCATAAAGTTCCACTTGTTTAGTCCTAAGACCTCTGACGTTTTGATAATATATGTCGAAACATTTTCCAGGATGTTTGTGAGACCTGGCAAAACAACCTGTGTTGTTGTCAGGCTTGCTAACCATTAACTGAGTACAGAAGTGCCCACCCCCTAGGCAGTGACATTGTTTACCTTGTTTACAGAATCGCCTACGGGGTCCATGGGTGGGGGAGTAGGGAGGCGAACGTTACCTGCACCAGGTGAGCGAGGCCGAGAAGTCTGATTCTGCAAGAGTATAAATTTGGTCAGGACTCAATCGCCCATAGAAAGGAGCGATTAAACAGCCGTTAGGCCAGGCACCGGTATTATTAATAAGATGGAAATCATCCCCTGCAACAGAGACATGAAATGATGTGTACGAATTGTGTTTAGTTTTTAATTTGGTGTAAGCAAGGAAAGTAAGCTGCAATTGATCCTTTAGAGATGTCTGAACATCAGATGATGTTACATCAGGCGAAAACCGAGAGACAAAAAGGGACTTGATACGACCCTCTTCTGCACAACAGAGGGAAGAGCTTCTCACCCCGATCATGGTAACCCTGGGCTTCTTTGTGGTATTGGCAACAGCAGTGTTTACAGGAGATGGGGTTACCCACTTCTAAAATGGAATATGGAACTGTGGGCTTTGCTATAATAGCGAAACTTTTTTATCTTTGATTTTAAACAAAATTTGAAATGTTAAATATACTTATCAACAGAGATATTGGGTTTTCAGACTTTATCCATCGTCCTGGTTTTTTAAGATAACTAAGAAAAACACAACATTTCGGAAACTGGATCTGTTTCCGTCCTCAGGTAAGGGAAAAGACCTATTCTGTTGGTCCCTTAGAAAGAGCTAACCTCAATCACTGGACAACCGATGTCACAAAACACAAAGGTTATGAACACCTGAGACCAGGTTAAGTCCATGAGAGCTGATAAGAAAAATATACATAACAAATTGTCTCAAACACATACAAGCGTGGAACCACGATAGAGAGAGCCGTAGAAATTTATGTCACGAAACCCAAACTAATAACCAGGTCCATGACCCCACGGCATGGAATATAAAGGAGAACTAGTAAAAAACTAATAGTGTCTAACTAGCGTCAACAGTGGAGTAAATCACGTCTGTCTAATTTAGAACTTAATAGAAATCAATGAAAACATATATCACGTCATACAGATCATCTATGTGAATTGGTGACTTCATTGCTGATAATGGGGATCCAAATGGGAGAAAAGTCCAAACTGGGTTGGCTAATTGGGTTGGCCGAGCATGCCATATAGGCCGCTTCCTTGTATTTCCTATACCTGATGTGGCTTTCAATACCCAAAATCTTAGCTTCATCCCAGCCTACCCTATGTCCCTCTTCATAGGCATGTTGAGCTAGTTTAGATTTTTCTAGAAGACCTTCTTTGAGGTTATGCCTATGTTCCCGGAACAATTTGTTATGTATACAGGGTGTCCCAGGAGGAATGGTCAAAACTTTGGGAGGGTGTTCCTTATGTTAAAGTATGTCGATAGATCCCAAAACACCTATGTCCAAAGTTGAACGGTTANTTTCCCAATCGAAGGATTCCATCTCGAAGTGTATTTATGCGAATTCACCAGACATTGCATGATACTGGTTCTCTTCCGAGTGTTTCTGTGCAGTCTGAAAGGGAGGATGTACGAATGATAAACACATGAGAGAACATTCTTGAGATGGTTCAGAAAAGTCTGTGTCTGTCCACTCGTAGAATGGCCTCTCGCATCGGCGTATCACGTATGCAGGTGTTGCGAACTTTACATGATGAAGAGTTGTATCCTTACCATGATCAACGGGTACAACATCTGGAACCAGGCGACCATGCACAACGTATGGACTTGTGCCATTGGATAAAAGCTCATCCCGAACTGTTAAGCGTCATTTTATTCAGTGATGAGGTGTCTTTTACCCTGGATGGTGTAAATAATTTACGAAATGTGCATACGTGGTCACATAGTGATCCACATGAGATAATGGAAACGAAATTCCAAAAGAGATTTTCCGTGAATGTACGTTTAATACAGTTATGTGGTCGGCTTATAGCGCAGTCAGCCATGTTACGTCAGCGCTTGCCAGTCATGTGTCATGTATAGTGCTTGGAAACCCTAAGGACAATTATGACATGGCAAGCGAGTATTTTGTTGTTCAATTTTATGGCTTCATGTCACTCACGAGTTAGTTTGATGTTACGTACATTATTAACATTACAGAAACCACATATTCCTGCCAGTTTTAATATGTATTTTGTAATCAACAAGTGTGTAACACCGGTCAAAGTTTCACACTTCTCTGGCCATTATCTCCATAACTGTTCAACTTTGGACATAGGTGTTTTGGGTTATATTGGCATACTTTAACATAAGGAACACCCTCCCGAAGTTTTGACCATTCTCCCTGGGACACCCTGTATTTTTCTTATTAGCTCTCATGGACTTAGCCTGGTCTCAGGTGTTTATAACCTTTGTGTTTTGTGACATCAGTTGTTCAGTGATTGAGGCTAGCTCTTTCTAAAGGACCCAACAGAATAGGTGCTTTCCCTTACCTGAGGATGGAAACAGATCCAGTTTCCGAAACATCGTGTTTTTCTTAGTTATCTTAAAAGACCAGGATGATGGATAAAATTTGAGGCTTTCACGGCAGTGACTATGAAGAAAGCAGTCTTCTGATACGTTCCTCCGAAACGTCGGTTAACACCACATATACATGGTGCCAAATCCCAGAAGACTGCTTTCTTCATGATGGATAAAGTCCGAAAACCCAATATCTCTGTGTGTTACACACGATCATCAGAATCCTATAGTAAATACTTATCAACGTTGAAGTAGATGTCTTGGTTGCAGTTACAGCTCTCAAAAATGAATCAGCATTCTCAAACCAGGCCAATTTTGGCTTGTACAGATCATCAGTACTCTTTTTCGATTTCATTATTCTTGACAGTTCTTGTCTGTACATGGTTTTGATGGTTTTCAGTTTTTTACACAATAATTCCACATCAATATTTTCAAATCCTTGTTCCCTCAGTTCCAGCACCAGCTTCTCGAACAACAGTTCTCTTTTGTTTTTGTTCATGTAATCTTGATGTCGAATATTCCATAACAGTCCATATGTTTCATACATTTCCAAGAACTTCATTATTTCATTTACATTCCACTTTGGGGCGCTCATTACAATATCAAAATATGAATACCAACACAGTAAGACACTCGGAAATTATTTTCGAAATATAACCCTACTTATTAAGTCAAAACACTTTCAACTTGCAAGTTACAACTTATTACAAGTTAGTGTTCAGACACGGAAATTGGTGGAGTCAAGTTGATGACGTGATGGGAAAGTGACACAAAAGTTCACGGGTCGGTAACTCAAATTCTACTTGAAATGAAAGTTACAGTTTCACTGACTCCACCTATTAAAACAGTGAAAGCAGAAAGAAAGTTAACTTGCTTCAAGAACTTGACTCCTGCAAACTGTCCCTGTGTGAATTAAGGTCCATTCATATCATCCTGCATTCATCGTTTCATACACGTAGCATTTCCTCCACGACATTTGTTCAAACTTTTCATATCATCAGACATCGAACCATTCCAGCTCATACC